GTTGTCGAATGGGGCGGTCAAAGCGTTTGGGTAGCTTGGATATTACCGTACTCGGGGGAAAACTTTCTCTATGAGATATTCCGTTCTTGGTGGTGCCTACTTTGAAGATAGCCTATAGTTGGTTCACTTTCTTAACCTGAGCTATTCTTGTGAGAGGATATCCCCAAAATTGAGTAGAGGACCACTTGAAGACCCCCCGATGAAAAATACCCCTGCGAAACAAAGACCAGGATGTGGGTTTTGCGTCTCGAGTTTTCCCATATTAGGAACCCCGTTGGCGCAGTAATTTGCTTCCTAAGTATTTGAGGTTTTAAGCCATGAATTCGGGTTACATGAACCCCCCATGGACAGAGGGTTACAAAGGGAGGTTGTTGCTGTGTGGTATTACCCGCTTTTGCGACTAAGTGGACTAAAATTCTATTTCTGGCGACAATGCGAATTGGTCCCTTTTGCGAACGGGTCACTTTTGTGAAACAGTTTACCATTGAAAGTGGTTTTTTGATGCTTGTTCTCTCCAGGTATGAATAATCACCACGAACGTCCATTCCAGCATCATCATCTGTCGACCGTCTGGTGTAGATTGAGCACAACTTTAGAGCCCTGACACTAGAATTGTCCCCGCGGACAAAACGCCCACAACGGAACCGCATAGAAATTCAGACAAAAGTGAGACTCCTTGGCACAATCACGACTGGTGTTTATAAATGTTGTCTTTCTAACGGAATTTACTTAACTTTTACTATGGTGACGGTTTTCTTGGACAAAGGTTCATATTGCAGAGGGCAAGATTATCAGTGCACTAGCTTCATTGTATCAATATTGTATTGCTCTCGTTGTTTGTTTATTCTGCCGCCAGAGAATGTTACCTCCCACCCCCAAACGAAGACCAGTTAAGCCGCCCTCGTGAGCGGTCTGAGAGGCCTGTGTGTGTACATATATATGAAGTCCAGTGCATCCCCTTGAAACGGCAAGATAAGATTAGAACACTGTCGGCGACTGCTTGGCTGTAGTCATAAAGTGCCAGGATGCTCTGTGCTGGCTGAAACTCGTTGACCGTTAAGGCTGTAAAACGGTAGTCACACGATTATCCTGTAGATGATTACGTGACCTTGTGAAATTATGGTCCTCATCGCTGTTGACTGAAATCTACAAGCCACCAGAGACCATTTAGTTTAGCCCCTATGCCACCATTTCTTGGTCACAACCATGCAAGTAATGGGTGGTGATTTTGCAACACGAACGGTATGTTTTGGAGGACTGAAATCGTCTTCTCCAAAACTTGAAAAAAAACTTAAACCGTCCAGCTGTGGCACCCTTTCGGTGCCTAGCTGCCATGCCACCCGAAGGTTGCACGAGGGCTTGGATACTGTCAGCTTTCCCAAGCCTAGACAGGGGAAGTCGACAGGCAGAGGTCGGGTTCGAACCACGGACCGTTCGGTCAGTAAAATCGCGTTCTAGCCGTTTTGTCCATCTCGTCCTCCTTTATATAGTGCAATGATCGTGAAAGCTTATGGTATTACTGCAGCTCCTAGAGAGCATTATTTCCCCTTAATTTGTCTGCTTCAGCTCAAAGCATTTACACGCCGATCTGGTTCGCTTGATCACTTGTGAGTAGTCCTGGGACACGTGTAATCTATACCTACAAAACTATCATTCGAACAGTCCTTCGTTCTCGCTGCATTATTTTTACAACGGAAGGGGGGAATTACTGCTGGAAGCAATTTGGTAAGTGCGCTCCACAATCGTGTGGACTAACAAGCATAACCGCACCAGGAAGCGGGAGGAATGAATGAAATGGAACCAGTGTGCGCGCCATCGAAATACACAGCATAAAATGCCAGTGGACCACACACCGAAACAGATACCGACCCAGAGAACCGAAAGAAAAAAGACGATTATCTACGAGATCGGTCTTTGGAAAAAATTGCTAGACTGTACGACTTCATACGGGGCGATTAGGTCTATGCATCACAGTGGCTGTTCCATTGCCTCACGGTAGATTCGTATCTTGCGGGCGATCGACATGTCCACAAACCGATCACCGATGCTGACAACCATACCACCGATTAGAGACGGATCCAGCTGTGGGAGAGGAAAAACAGGGCTTGTGTAAGATATAGAACAAAAAACTGGAAGATGATGAAAGATGGTAGGGAATTTTCTAAAAATTCCATATAAAACAGGAGAGTTGGATGATGTAATGAAAGATAACTGAACGTAAAAGGTCTCCTCATCGATGTAAGCAGCACACGACGTCACTTGAGAAGGGGCTGAGGTGAATCAAAGTCAAAGGTGCCTACTGTGTGGCTAGAATAAGAACGAGAGCTATGTTTTTAGGGGGAGGGGCTAGGAATGGTAACTCACCTCAAGAGTTAGTTGCAACTTCTGATTCGGCTTGATGAACCCGGCCAAAGCGGTTCGTAGTTCCTGTTCAGTAGCTTTATCCAAGGCCTTGGCTGTACGCACAACGCACGGCACCTCGCCACGATGTGCGCTCATAATTTGAGCGAATTTTTCGAGGAGCACATTGATGCGATCCAGTCTTCCGTTTTCCGCTAACAGAACTAACATAGGAATAAAAGCAATTGACATTGACGATTGCCCAAGGAAGTCCAGATGACCAGACTGGATAACGAAGCTACTTCAAAAGACAAACGGCTTCATTAGACAGACAGATATTGAGATAAACAGTGATGTCAGGATAGAACATCTGGTATTTCATTTTTACACCTTTCCTGGATAGTAGACCTCATGACAGTAAGGAAATTGTAGGAAGTGCAATAGGGAGTTTGTCATATAAAGTTAGCGTAGTAAATGATATTCAGAGCTCGAGATAATTCAGTGGTTAAAACGCGAACTTGGTGACTATAAGGTCCTCGGTTCGAACCCAACCTCTTCGACTCGACTGCCCCTATCTATCTTTCTGGCTCGGCCCCCTTGGGGTGGAATGGCCCGGTGACTGGGGGCACCAAAAGGGTGTTACGGCTAGACGTTTATCATTTTGTTCAGCACCTCCATCCCAACTGGGAACTACTCGCAACCCAAATTCCGAGGCGCAGTCCAGTGTCGCCTGGGATAAGAGTGATTATCACCCCATAGGCGATCGATATTAGGCCAAAACTCATCACTACATTGAACAACCAGAACTCTCAAAGTTTCATAACAAGCCTGGCTAACTTGGATCACGGGCATATATCATGTGCAGCCGGTTACGTTCTAAAGTATACTGCGATGGAATCTACCAGCCAATGAGTTCAATGAGGTTTGGAAGCGGGAACTCCCCCGATATTCATAAATGTTTCAACCAGTGCAAAAAAATCGTTCAGCTGTAGCACCATTTCGATGCCTAGCTGCCATGCCACCCGAAGGAAGCACGAGGGCTGGGATACTGCCAAGTCGCCTAAGACTAGACAGGGGAAGTCGAGAGGCAGAGGTCGGATTCGAACCACGGACCTTCCGGTCAGTAAATTCGCGTTCTAGCCAATTTGTCCATCTCGCCCCAAGGAGAATGAACCACTCATTTAAGATTATGGCTATTCGTATATTATCCGTGAGCTGACTTGGATATACAAGATGCTCTCGAAGTGAAGTGTATGCAACTTCATCTTGCTCCACGCTTATAACTGTTTCCTACGTCACGGCGCCTCCATCCCGGCTAACGAACCCGTGATGTGATACGCGATTTAAACGCTTGAGGATTAGGCAATAAATGAATGGAAGAACTTACCGGTCATGGCAAGTAATAAGAATACAGGTCAGTTTCGAAGCAAATCGTTCAGTCGTAGCAACATTCCAGTCTATAGTTAGTTGCCAGACCGATGGAAGAAATCAAAATGCTCGAGACACCACGAGAACTTCCAACCCGTAATAGGAACGACCAGAAAAGTAGACGCGGGTTAGAATCACGAACCCTTTGGGTAAGGAGTTCAGAGTTCAATCTCAAAGCAGTATCCAAACTGTGCAAGATTCCATACTCAAATACAAAAGTCGGCAGCAATAATGGGACAAACGTACCATAGGTATTTTTTGTCGGTGGATTGACTTTCAGTTTATCCAGCACCTTTGCGAATTCTTTCGCCTTGACCGAACGCTGTAAACTCGGGTCCATGCAGAACTCCCGCAACCGTACATCTTTAGCCAAGGTGTCCCGAATCGTATTCATATCTTTCTCAATCGCTTCCAGATTTTTTAGCTTGGAAGCTGCTGAGTAAAGCGCTGTAGCATAGCGGCCCTCAACCCCGAAAACGTGTACAGGGGGCTATGCAGAGAAGAAAAGAAACAGAAACCAACTGCGGTATGTTCCACAAAAATCCCTCGCCTATAGGACCCAAGTCATTTTTTTGTGCTTTGGTGCCAAAATTACCTCCGAGAGACACGACTAACTTTGTCCAGGCAACGAAGAACGATCGATGTGTATAGCGAGGCGAGTATGACTGATAAAAACCAACATTTAACGTGATTCACATGTGATCACAGTTAAAGGCAAGCACAATAGTCATGCACAGCACTGATAACGGCGTACTTTTCGCCTTACACAACTTCATGACATGCGATTAAATTCGGGATGATAATTCCGAGAACAACAGCAGATTAGCCCCTCATCAACGAATGGCGCTATCAAAGCCAATGGATGGGTAGTTGCGTCCTGAACCGATAGTGCAGCTTGTTTTCCTGAACTTCGCTCTAAACATATTCTCGTATGCTCAGCTCCAAGTGCCACAACCGCAAACGATAAATCACATGCGATTAATAGTACAAAAGAGACCGGGAAATGTGAACACTATTCGTCATGGCACCTGATTTTTGTTCAGCTATGGGCGTTCGAAAGTCAAATTTAACTCCGATGCGCAAGCTTAATAATCCCTAATGAGCCTGGTGGCTGGAAATTTCGTACAGAAAGAGGGTGATACTATACCCTGTATCACGGTAAATTACGAGTGTGAGTTGAACGGTAACCAGTTCATCTTTTTTAGGTCAATGCCCGAAACACTTGCATGTACTGTGAGCTCAGACATTCGATGAAGGCTCACTGTAGGGCTGGTAACCCAGATGACTAACCCAAGTCGTGGACCCTAATTCAACAGGTAGTGGGCTATCGACGGGTTTACAGTAATCATGGGTAGCATGTTACATCTATACAATGTATGTCGAATAATGTACCAACATAAACATGAGGCGGCTTGATGTTGCACACTCAGTTGAAGAGGAACATTATAAACGAGAGATTCAGTTGTGTTTCGTTCCAGGTAAGTATCCCGTTAAAACCGAATTGGTATGTAAATGAATGTATTTGTCCAATTTGGGCTCAGGTAGAACATAAGGTTGACGGAAACTCGGAAAATGTGCCTGTTTGATGAGTCCCAAGAGGGGCGAGACCCACCATGAGCTGTAGAACGGTTTTCAACAACCTGATGAGTAGTGTGTTCCGTCTGTGCAATGTACTGTTATTTCTCGAACATCACTCCAACTGAAACATAAGATGGCTTTTGTGCAGCACTTTTAGGACTGAACGGACAGTGCTGCATGCATGTAAAAAGAAAGTTATCAAATAAGAAGAGAGGCTATAGGTCTTTCAGATGACCGGGTAGGCCAAAGTGCGCTGCTGCTCACGGAAACAAACACACNTTTTAGGACTGAACGGACAGTGCTGCATGCATGTAAAAAGAGAGTTATCAAATAAGAAGAGAGGCTATAGGTCTTTCAGATGACCGAGTAGGCCAAAGTGCGCTGCTGCTCACGGAAACACACGATGCTAAGCAGATAGGAATTCAGTTTACTGCACAGTACAGAAAAATCCCAAGTAATCTATCGGTGTAACATGGTTCAGATCCTGTAGTGGGCATTCGGGAGCAACTGCCTATCCTATTCTCCCGGATGTGAACACCGAATTCGCTCTATTTCCGCAGTTCATGGATAGGGGAGGGCAATGTATCAACTCGCAACTGAAAAATCAGAAACACACTATTACCATGGCTATGTTCAGTCAAGAACTCAAGTTTTACTGCCCGTGCTACCCGAATCAGAATTGCATCCAAATAACTGAGGACGTGTATGGGAACTATGAGGCACAAAATTATGGTCGAAATCAAAACAATGGCTAACTCTCCAGCAGTACCTAAGAGGAACAGAAAGAAAAAGGTGCTATGGGCTGGATTCACTCTGGAACGAACCGAGACACGGATCACATTTAGTGTGTAGCGAATGTGGACAGATAGTATGTGGCGTAGTAATTGTAGGATCACTCAAACAATCACTCGAATCAATAGTTGAATTATTCAGACGATCTGCCTGCTGGTGGGTGGTAACATCGTAATATCCAGTCATCCAAAGACCGAATCACAAGCTTGGAATTTAACCTAATCGATAGTTGCAACTAATTCAGTTCACCAGATGTGCCATCGTGGCCTTCCGATCAATAGCCTGGAATTACTACGGATCGAGCGCCGTACGTTGAGTTTGTGTGTCTCAATAAAGATGACGGCCCCCCCTCCCTGTTGTGGTTTGACGTTTCGGGATCCAACCATATAAGCCTGACAACTTCTAAATTGGTTGGGAAGTGCTGACCATACCATCGTGATTTATCGAGCCCCAAAATCTTTATGTCTTTGATTCGATCGGAAGTCCTGTTGGTAAATGATTGTCATTTCAGCCAAGATAAAACAAAAACAGCGTCCACTACACTCTGCGAATGGATAAAGCACGGTCTTCTTTACGAAAAAAGAAAGGTTGCAGTCGAAACAAGCGGAAGGATGAGCACCGGTGTTCAGCCGAACTAGATGAGACGACTGGCCCATGGATCAGCTGATATGAAAATGGTTATCAGCCGCTACCCAAAGGACCCACCGTTGGGTAAGAACATCCTCAGATTCTATAATACCATAGGTGATCGGTTGCCTATGCACTCGAAATGCTTTTTACTTACAACTAAAGGTAAAAATCAACATTTTTAGCAAGGATCGAAATCGTTTCGAAGATTCACCACGCCTTATTTGAAAGCCCGAAGAAAATACCCCTACAAGAAAATCTCACAGAGAACACCTAAATACAGGCATCCCACTAAAATACCGTGCTTCAAATCCCTCCTTTTTCTATTGAAGTAGGCAAAAAACTTCCTCTAAAGATGCCGAACAGACGCCAAAGAGGCACTGATCTTCTGTCCCTTGGAAAATGAGAGCACGCCAATCCCCACTAACCTATGGTAAAAATTGTTGATAAAAATCAACACCTGTTCCATGCACATTAACAATTTCTCCTTGTTTCCATATCTCCGGGGCACCGATTGCGTACACGTTGTAGAGGGCCTACTTTCTGGGTGAAGGTCTTTCCTATCTTATCTAATTTCAACAAGTCGCTTGTGACAACAGTAAGCAAGTTGTGAGACTATTACCAATTCTGCAAGATGTGATTACCAATTAGCAGGTCACCAGAACTTATTCGATGTGCGGTGGCCTGTTTTCAGGCTTGGGTACCAGCTGCGGCAATGTGACCAGATCATATTGTTCTCGTGCTCGTCCCTATGATCGTGCACACACCACGCATTCACATACGCTGGCCAGGTCAAACGTCCTGGCAGAACCAAACTACTGTCAAAACCCAGGGAATGCGTTCAAAGAGGTAGAGCGTTTGATTGTACATAATTGCGGATAGGTAACATGGCAAAATTGGAGTACAGAACGATGAGGTGGTGTGGTTACTGGCAACACTAACAGTGTGGAGCGGTGTGTTAGAACAGCAAACATCCTGGCATAAATATATAATCCGACCTTAAACCCTTCCTGTGCCGAGCCTTTTGCCATCCGAAGGGAGCATGGGGACTGAGATGCTGCCAGGTTGCCCAAGCCTAGACAACAACTGCCGATATGCCGTTGTTCGAGCCATGCACCTACCAGTCGGTAAGCTCACGCCTTAACCACTGAGCTATCTCGGGCTAGACAGCTTGGTACGCTGATAGTTCCAGCTTAGTCAAGAACCTTGCTACGAGCCATTATACTATAGATTGATGTGTTCAGGAGATATAAATACCGACGACTAAAGTGAAGTCATCTTAAACGCCAACGGCCTACCAGTCGTAAGCTCACGCCTTAACCACTGAGCTATCTCGGGCTAGACAGCTTGGTACGCTGATAGTTCCAGCTTAGTCAAGAACCTTGCTACGAGCCATTATACTATAGATTGATGTGTTCAGGAGATATAAATACCGACGACTAAAGTGAAGTCATCTTAAACGCCAACGGTATGTATTTGTTATCCAACTACCTCTCGAAAAAAGCAGGCTTAGCAAACAGCGTACATTGCTTTGGAATTTTGCCGACATGAACTCATTTAATCAAGTGACAGGCGCGTAGCGAAGAGAATGTATTTACTTTCAAAATGGATAGTAATTGAATAGCCAGTGAAAAGAGACAAACGGTAAACACAAAACGGATGCGAGATTTGTGGGTGATCTGTTTCCCGCAGGCCCTTGACCCTGAATCAGTGGTCAATTGGAACCCTTGGGGCGGTGGCTTTCTCATACTGCTGCTCAATAAAATCAAGCGTTTTTGTATTTCCATGTACTTCATGATGATTCTAAAAACCGCATATTTGACATACTGCACCAGATTATAAAATATCAGCTGGTCACCACCAACTTCTATTCGGATTATTGAACAAACCAAGCCATATCATTAGGAAGCATAACAAGACGGTCCTTGCTACATGAATTAACGTTTTCCTGACGTAACTCAATAAGCAAAAAGTTGCTGAGGTCACCTCGACAGCTCATCAGGTAGTCCAAGAGCTTCTTTCAACCTTATGTTCCGCTTAAACATCAAATTGGACGCAAACGGTGTTAATGAGTTGGGTCAAAAAATATACTTCCATATCTCGAGTCTCGTACCAACTTGAACACGAGGCGTACTTTGTGCAGCATATTCAGTTGAACAACACTATGAGAGAGACATTCAGTTGATCCTGCCATTAGCGCCAAAGTAATTTACAAAAAAGAGTATTTCATCGTACGAGTTAATGCTCTTCGAGCTGCTCTATGGAGATGCCTAGAAGCAAGTGCAACGTTCTAGAAGTTCCGTGAAGACGTATCTTCATCCACCTCCTAGCAAGGTGACCAGATCGAACGATCCGAGATAATAATATTAGGTTATCAATATTATTCACGTCCAGGTATCGTTCAAATTTCGACAGGCTGAGGAAGATAAGGACGAAACAGGGACTCAAAATCACTGCCAAGCAACTGAACTAGTTCCTGGTGGTGAACAAGTGGGAGCTAGTGCGTGTGCAAAATGATCCACAAGCAGCAGATATAAAGAACGGGCTGGATGTGAACTTGACATACCATTATTAATTTCTGCATCGACGACGAAGTACTGAGACCGCGAACCTGTAATAGAAAGGGGAAATAAATTTTCATGAGATGCGATTAAATCTGTGATGGGTAAACACCAAGGAACTGTATAACTCGGTTAAATGCCAAAACGGATAGCGTTCAATCACTAAAATAGCTTTGCGCCCTCGATTAGATATGGGGCTCGCATCAATATAGCAGTTCAGAAAGGAAGCTGTGCGATTTGCGAACCAACTCAGTGCACGCATCACATCTATCTGTTTGACTGCAGCGGTTGAGTTCAGGTTGTCAACCAAGAACCGTGTGCGCAGCATGCAGCAGTGGATGGTGTGGGGTGGATAGGGATGGCGGATGTGGATAATAATAAAACACTGGGTTAGCGGAGAGTAATCAGACAGCAGGTACAACAGCATCGCTGGTTGCACCGCATCACCGGGTTGGTGAGTACCACTGATTATCGGTGTTCTTGAATTGTGGCTCTACACCGGTGGCTGGTGGCCACGTGGTCCAACTGGATCCACGGTTGATTTGCAGTTGGTGGCCGCCAGGTAACGAGATGCGAAAATTTATGTCGAAAGTTGACCAAACCAATATTTCACCACATTACCAATCAGAGGGTCATCAGTTTGACCCCCCCTGTAACAAGGCTTCTGGAATCACAGATTCTTTTCGTCTTACGGTGGTAGGCCAAGCCTTGACCCGTAAACATCGAGTGGGGACTCTGGCCTGGTGAAGTAGGCGTCAACCACACGTTCGCACTTCGTCTCCTTCAACACAAATGGAAAAACCCAACGGGCCTGAATGTAACATCAACACCTGTCTACTGTCAGCAACCGAAATCCACCGTTAGATATCAATCCTCAAGCACCTGACCCAGATGACGTACACCCCCAAAACTTCAAAGGCGACGAGGTCCCGGTGAACATTTCGACAGTTCCCGAACTAACCAAACATACCATCGCCCACAAGACTTGGCTGTATGCACAAACTCCCAGTTTCCGGTGACCAAAACTGTAGAAGCTGGAACCAATGTGCCTACGGTACGTCGTTTGTCTGAAAAATTGAACGATTGACTCCGTCAGAAGTTACAGCAACGCCACATGTACAGAACACCCATAGCTGGAACCTGCCTACGGTACGTCGTTTGTCTGAAAAATTGAACGATTGACTCCGTCAGAAGTTACAGCAACGCCACATGTACAGAACACCCATGAGATTAATGCCTTGTGCCTTAAAGATTGCGCTCAATTCTGTCGACCCGTCAGTGCTCCCACATACCTCACTATATATGGGGTGCCCCAGAAGTTTGTGAGCACAATCCGGTCCACACATTCATACTTCTCCGTGCTTGAGTGCATGGAAAGCTATCCAAAAGCACAAACTCTGGTGACTAGAATAACCACCACGTGCTTTGCACCCTCAAATTTTCACACATCATCATCAAAGACAGCAACATTAAGGTTGCCACTGATGCTTCACTGCCGTACAACCATAAGGTTTATATATATATATATA